TGTCGCAACGCAACTCGGAGATGAGTATAAACTTAGCCACTAACCTGTAATATTATTGCTTTCAGACTTGTAGGCATGCATCTTTGGTTTATTTGCCTACCGGCAACAACCAGTCCAAGAGTCGCGCTTGACCTCAAACGCAGCGAAGTTTACAGGAACTACGCCAACCCAACAACTTGTAACGACTCAAAGCGTGGATCTGAACGTCAGCGCGGCCTGGAAGCAACGCCGAATGCAATATTCATAGCGCAGAACCACTGGAGTGCAGATGGCCTAAGAAATCACCATCATTTATAAATACGGTAATGACTAAACACCTCTTCTCTGCTCGCAAACCTTATCTAATTAAAACACCAACCGCTACAGGGCAAAACGCCGTGGTACCAGTGCAAGAATAGCCTCTTCGCCGTATCACCGTGCTCTTTTACATACACCAACTTTGCCAACTTCACCAGTAAAAGCAACTACAAAAATTCAGTTCTAAGCGCAAATATTCTTACTGTCGTCCTCATTGTTCAAATAGCCTAGACGAAGCGTAGTGGGACGCGTAATATGGTCTAGCAAATAAGGCGAATAACTTACCGGCATCACCGTAGCCTACGCAACATAACCGTTAAAACCGGACAAAATTCACACCTCATCCATGGCAGATTAACTTGGCCCTGAGCAATTCCACCTTGTTATAGGGCAAGGCAGAACACAGCCCACTTCTCAGTATCATCCTATGCATCTTAAATAGCATAACTAGTACACCTGCTGCATGCAACAGACCACAACCGTTCTCAACTTCCTGGCTACCTTCTAAAGACTCACACTTGCTAACCATCATACATTGTCCCTACGGATGTTGTTCTGTAGAGTCCAACTTCATGATACTTTAGCCAGAGTGCTTTGCTATTTACCAATTCCGAGCCAGCCCTTTAGTTTAGCAGCTAGCTAATGAAGTACCCAACCCCTACCTACATGCTTATAGGTCTAAGGCTGTCTATTCAACATCCACTTTCAATTCTGCTTCAGATTCTCCTTAAACACAGTTATATAGATAAATAAAGATTATATTCTCGAAACAGGATAGCACGCGTTTTGAGCAATGGACTGTTACAATATCCACAACACACCGCCACGTTAATATCCTACAGGCGGGGCACCGTGGCACTATCAGACGAGCCAGTCAGAGTTTCTAAAGCTCACCAGCTTGCTGCAACCCTTTCTTATGGATCTTAGCGACACACGGCCATCCATGTCAAATTTACCAAGCACACACGCCCTCCCCAGCTCAACTGTGCTGACTGTTGAAAACGTTGTAGTTAACTGCCTACAAGTAACACCAGGACCTGTTGCCACATTACATGACTTTTGAAACATAAGAGCTGCAGCTGACAGCGCAGCAAAAGTGCCTGCACCATTAGCTTGTGGCAGAATAGGTGAAAAGGAGCTTGACCGTTTGCAGCAAATTGGTGTGCTTCAACCAGTCAATCTCTCATCCTGGGCTGCTCCCATCGTCGTGATTAATACGATGAACGGTTCTATTCTCTTGTGTGCAGATATTTCAACGGGTCTGAATGATGCAGCAAAACCCATCAACATGCACACCAACTTCCTGACAACATAGTGGCGAAGACGTATAGTAGTAAAAATACCGACAAATTGGATTTGGCTAATGCTTATTAATAACTAGATACTGAACCTGACAGTGGAATAGTTTTCGAGACCAACTTCCCATATAGTCTGTATAAATAAAATCGACTTACATTGGAAGTAAAAGCCGCACAAAAATTATTTCAGCAACTCAAGGGTGCCAGGTAAGAATTACTTGGTTGGACAGGGTGTGATGCGGTCTTTGTTTTAGGTCCATCAAAATTTCAAAGTCTGCCAACTCCCGGTTCAACGACCCGTTGAAAAAGGACCACTCACGGGCTAGTTCTATCGTGCATCTGCACGCCCACAGGAATGATTTTAACTGTTCCCAGCGCAGCTGCATCAATTCTGTCACTATGGAAATTAGCGATGACTGGTCTCAGGCGTTCTTGACTGACAGTACATAGGTTTAAGTAAGTCTCCCCTTGGTAGCAGCATAATTGGCACGGGAGAGGGCTGCGCTATAGGCGGAGGGCGCCTCCAAAACCAGTGGGCATGTAATGCGTATAGGTCGCATAGCAGCCACTTTTGTTGCTAGGAGGGAAGCCACAGTGGTAATC